ATGTAAAAATAGGTTTTAATACCAGTAATATTTTTGTAGGAAAAAAAAAAAAAAAAATATTGCCAGCAATACAAAGAGCTATACAATTTTGAAGAAAAAAGTATTACCAGCAATAAAAATTTTGTTGACATTAAATAACCCCATTGAGGTTGATATGCCATAAAACCAAACCAGATCTACAAACTGATTTCTTACAAAGAATACATATTCTATTCATAACCTATCCTATCCTTTAAATCTTATCAGCATTAAAAAACAAAATAAACCAAACCTGATTATGGTTGATATGCATATTCATAAAACAAAAATAAACCAAACCAAACCTGATCTACAAACTGATTTCTTACAAAATACAATATTCATATTCTATTCATAAAAATCTTATCCTTAAAAATCGTTGATATGGCATTAAATAAACCCATTGAGGTTGATATGCCATTCATATGAACGTATCCTAAAAAATCTTGAAATAAACCAAACCTGATCTACAAACTGATTTCTTACAAAGAATAAATATTCTATTCATATGAACCTATCCTAAAAATCTTGTCAGCATTAAATAACCCAAAATTGAGGTTTCTTACAAAGAATATATTCATACCATAAAATCTTGTCAGCATTAAATAACGAAATAAAATAAACCAAACCTGATCTGCAAACTGATTTCTTACAAAGAATACATAGTCTATTCATATGAACCTATCCTAAAAATCTTGTCGGCATTAAATAAACCATTGAGTTTGATATGCCTTGAAACAAAATAAACCTAACGAAAAGAGAAAGTCTTCCATATAAAAGAATAACAGATGAATTCCAGAAAGGAATAAAGTTGAAAGGAATGTGAACTCCCAAACTAAGATCATGAAAGAGAAATTAAAAGGAAAGGAAAAATATATTGAAAGAAAAGAGAGAGAAAGAAAATATAGTTCTTAAAGAACTCGAGAAAAGAAAATAACTCATAAACAGATGTTTGTTCATCCCCATCCATAGTTTTCCAGAACACACCTATATACTAATAATATACTAATAAAATATTCTATGCATTCACCATTACATGAAAATATTAAGGCTCCTCAAACTGATATGCCATATTTGTTCATTCAGTATTGATATATGCTGTAATCAGACATTATTTTGATCGTCTTTCTAAGTCTCAGTTATTTATTTGCTTTTTCTCCTGTTATCATTAAAATTAATCTAATCATCATGTTGTCTCTTTCATGAGGGTCGATCTGTTAAATTCCACCTTCATCCATGTGTTCAAAGAGGAGCATAGATGGTTTCTATATTTTTATATATTCTTTTCTGTCTTTGTGTTGCGATGCCAATGAAGAAATTTAAGTGTTATGAACATTTACGGTCGAAGGGAGACAACACTAACCTTCCTTTCATATTTAAATCTGTAACAAAATTTCATATATATATATATATATATATATATATATATATATATATATATATATATATTTAAAATATGTTTTTTTTTTTTTTTTTTCACTACACAGTTACATTACAGATAAGTACGTATATAAAGCCCAGAATACATATACGTCCAAAAGTACTAATCATTCTAACAAAGATACATGTGTTACTATTTTGGGAATACATAAATGTGTTAAATGTTATGGTAAATTCATTAAATCAAATGCGTATACATAGAAACCTATGTACGAACATATTTAAGCCTTCACCCACACACACATATATATATATATATATATATATATATATATATATATATATATAAAAAGGTACATATACAAATACCGATGTTTAGGTGTGTGACTTAAGTTTATCTGGTTTTCCAGCTCATCAGGCACAAAATAAAAATATACAGCTGACACACGGGAGAGATGCTGCTTCATAGCCCAAAAATAAAATAGTGCAAAAGTTGTAGGAAATAAATTGCAGGTAGTGTTCATTTTCAAAGGAAAAAAAAAAACACGTATGTTTACGTTTCACATTAAAGTCATAACTGGGAATGCCACTCTCGATCTGGTACATTAACGTCGATGGTTTAAAGAGAGGTAAGTGGCAAGGGACCTAAATGTAAATGAAAGGGAAATTTAATAAAACAAGAATATAATAAAGAAGAAATTAATCGGGTTTCCAATATTTTAAGAGAAACGATTTTGTATGCTTACAGGCCATCATGAGTTCGTTTCGCTTATTAAGTAAACCTACTTTGTTAATATTTTTGAGGATGAATATCTTTTTGGATAGACATAGGTTGCACCATTTACATCCTCACCCCTGTACACGAGTATACAACTGCTTATATCTGGTCATTTGACTTACCTAACCCTATATCTAATATATATATATATATATATATACATACACATACACACAGTGACAATAAAGTCTCTAAACAGCTACTTATAATAAAAATCAAAACATTGTGGCAGGTGGCTTGCAGGTTGAACAGTATCAGTAATTAATTTACTGTTGTTTATCATAGCATTTTATTGTTATTAACCAGAACCATTTTAATAGTAAATTTCCAGACAATTGATTAATTGAGAAAGAGAAATCAGAAATGTGGCTCAAGGTATATTAAGTTGATTAATTGCTTTGTCTTGTTATTGTAAGCAATTGTATAATGACTTTGCCTCCTTGTATGCAAGACCAACCCCAAAAACCCCAATGGTAGAAGAAGCAGATGACAACCACAACAGACCTCAACGGTTGAACTAACAAATGAAGAGGGCTAAGTAGGATGGGCTTGCTACAGAGGACACCACTCAAAATTATAATGGTCAATGGCTGTTCGTTGTAATTTCATAACTGGCTTCTGTGTGTCTTGTTATATACGTGCCACAAAGGAAGGTCATAAAATTAAGTGTGTGGGTTTCTTTGTGGAATGTTGAGGTCCACCTGAAACAAATTCACGTCATCAACACTTTCTTCTATTCTGATTTTCTTTCACCGCCAACCAAATATTGCAAAGCCAAACAGTGATAGGGAATGGGTGATGGGAGCAGGTTTTCGTAAAAATGGAAACTTCTAGACCTGAACCTGCATATTGGCAACAAATTTAGTTATCAATGCCATCATCATAAACAAAGTGATCAGCAAAGAAGAAATTAAATTCTTGGATACTGGATAAATATGGTGACTAGATACTCAAATAGTACTGAATTTTTTTCTTTTCTTTTTTGTCACTTTTTCTTTTTTGTCTTGTCTTTTCTATTTTTTGTCTTGTCTTTTCTATTTTTTGTCTTGTCTTTTCTATTTTTTGTCTTGTCTTTTCTATTTTTTGTCTTGTCTTTTCTATTTTTTGTCTTGTCTTTTCTATTTTTTTGTCTTGTCTTTTCTATTTTTTTGTCTTGTCTTTTCTATTTTTTTGTCTTGTCTTTTCTATTTTTTTGTCTTGTCTTTTCTATTTTTTTTTTTCTATTTTTTGTTTTTCTATTTCTTTCTTTTCTATTTTTTTTTTTTCTTGTCTTTTCTATTTTTTTTGTCTTGTCTTTTTCTTTTTTTTTTCTTGTCTTTTCTATTTTTTTTGTCTTGTCTTTTCTATTTTTTTCTTGTCTTGTCTTTTTTTTGTTTTTTTGTCTTGTCTTTTCTATTTTTTTGTCTTTTCTATTTTTTTGTCTTTTCTATTTTTTTGTCTTTTCTATTTTTTTGTCTTTTCTATTTTTTTGTCTTTTCTATTTTTTTGTCTTTTCTATTTTTTTGTCTTTTCTATTTTTTTCTTGTCTTTTCTTTTTGTCTTGTCTTTTTTTGTCTTTTTTTTTGTCTTGTCTATTTTTGTCTTTCTATTTTTTGTCTTGTCTATTTTTTTTTGTCTATTTTTTTTGTCTTGTCTTTTTTTGTCTTGTCTATTTTTTTTGTCTTTCTATTTTTTGTCTTGTCTATTTTTGTCTTGTCTATTTTTTTGTCTTTTCTATTTTTTTTGTCTTTTCTATTTTTTGTCTTTTCTTGTCTATTTTTTTTTTTGTCTTTTTTTGTCTTGTCTATTTTTTTGTCTTTTCTATTTTTTTTGTCTTTTATTTTTGTCTTGTCTATTTTTTGTCTTGTCTATTTTTTGTCTTGTCTATTTTTTGTCTTGTCTATTTTTTGTCTTGTCTATTTTTTGTCTTGTCTATTTTTTGTCTTGTCTATTTTTTGTCTTGTCTATTTTTTGTCTTGTCTATTTTTTGTCTTTTCTATTTTTTCTTGTCTTTTTGTCTATTTTTTGTCTTGTTTTTTTTTGTCTTTTCTTGTCTATTTTTTGTCTTTTGTCTATTTTTTTGTCTTTTCTATTTTTTGTCTTGTCTATTTTTTGTCTTGTCTATTTTTTGTCTTGTCTATTTTTTGTCTTGTCTATATTTTCTTTTATTCCAGTCTGCAAATGCCATTTAATTGGAACAAGAGATGGGCACACAGCTTGTAATTTGGACACTGGTCATCCTTGTTACTGCAATTCAGGGTACGGTGGGTTGTTTTGTGATCGATGCCAACCAAAACATTACAGTCTGGAAGGCAAATGCCTACCTTGTCCCTGCACATCAGAAATCGGAAGTTTTAACTGCAGACTTGGTAAGTTATTTCTCTCCACCTTTTTTTTTTTTTTTTTTTTTTTTTTTTTCCAAATAAAATGTAAATTGTGATCCAAGTGCAACTGAACCATGAAATTCTATTGTGGTGAAGATGCTGAAAAGTTCCCAAGAAGCCTTTAAAAAAATATTTCTGATACTTGGTCAGATTTCAGGAAGTGCATATTTCCTGCAAAATATCACTTCCTTTCAACAAGAAATAAAAGCTGTTAAACAGTTATTTCGTGCCTTTGTTCATTCCACTCTCACTGTTCAGAAAACAGACACACGCAAAATTTCAACAATATTACATTACTCAGAAGAGGAGAGCAGGCTGTGTAACTGATAAATATTGAGTTGGGACACAAGTTTGTAGTGTTTTTTTTTTGTTTTTTTTTTTTCAGTAGGTGACATTTGAACATGAGATGCATTTTCATCATTTGATGCTTTTATTTTGAGAAGAGAAAAATACTGTGCAAAAAGCAGAAAGATATGTACTCTTTGTAAGTAGCTTTTTAGACTAAGAAGTGGAAATTTTGATCTGGAAGACAGGACATTCCTGCTAAACTGAAATGCTGATTAGAAATAATCCTAGTCATATGACACAGGGCATCACAAAAACATGCTACATATCTCATATAACACATTTGAAAACACTTGGATACATCAATCACTATAATGTTTGGCCTGAAAAGGATTATTCATAATTTGGAAAAGTTGATAATTGAAATTAATCAACACAAAATGACTATAATTTATTATACACACACACACACCATATTTGATGGCATATAAGGTGTATAAAATGCACCCCAATTTAAGCAGGGCAAATCAAGAAAAAATTAGTAATTACTAAAATTATTAGTAAATGGTAAAGCTTAGGCTATATTTATGAGGTTGAACAAGCCACGATTACAATTAAACAAAAAATAGAAAAAAGAACACAAGCCTATAAAAACTTTATTATATCTTTTATATGATCTGTACAACCTGCGTCTTGTAAACGTCTTAGTGGAATAATTAGGATATAAAAATTCAGATTGTATTTATATCAATGCAACCGGAAGTTATCGCAAGAAAAGTAATAATGAAACAAATATATTTTACAAATATATGATTTGAATTTATTGTATATAATTTTAATGAAACAAAGCACTAATATTAAATGTGATAAATTAATATAATGAATATTATCAATGATAACACTTTTAATCTGCATAATAGCCTTTTAAATAATAATAATAACAATAATAGGTATATGTAAGTTACTCTAAAGTCTAAGCTAATAGGAGTTGCCAGGTAGCTAATTTCAGCCAACTATCACAAATCTTAAAACTACATATGGCATATAAGACGCAGGGGAATTTTAAAAGATATTTTTAATTAAAAAAAATGCACCTTATATGCTATCAAATATAGATTTAGATAAATCAAACGACCAGATATGAGCAACTGTATATGCGCATGTTGGCATGCATACACAGGCAAGCAAATAAATAATCATTAAATTTATTCATGAGGTGTAAACATAACAGTGCTCGATGTGATTAGACAGAGAAAAAAGTGTGTGTGTGTGTATATATATATATATATATATATATATATATAATTATTTTTTATAATTTTGAAAAAACCATTTATTTTATTTTCAACATCATCACTTGATAAGACACAGTGTGTTGAAACAAAATGGCTATTTTTGTAGTGATTTTATAACATACTTATGTTATAATTTTTTTATAAAAAATAATTATATCTGCTCTACTTTGTATTGAGCACTCTTTTAAGAATAGTAATTGTTGGTTATTGGAATTCATTCCATATATACCAATTATATACTTGTGTGTGTGTGTGTGTATATATATATATATAAAACATATTTTCTATCAAGCAGGTTTGGGTTAATTAATTTAGATGTATTATGTTTATTTATTTTAGTTTTAATCCTTTCAAGTCCATGAATTAATTTCTTGGTGGTTGTAGAAAATTCAAAAAATTTTCTTTCAAATAAATTTTATTTTCCCAAGTACTTTCAATTTCATCTGAGGCCATCTTCAGGGTGTTAAAAATATCTGTGGATGTTTACAGTATCTCCGTAAATTCAAAATATTTTTTCACTGTTCATTTACAGCATCTCAATTTCAAAATTTTCAGTTCTGCAAGGGAGGTAATTTCAATAATTTTAAAAAAAGTAAAGGTTTTTGTAATTATATTTTTAATTTAGTATTTGTATATAAAACTTTGCTGCTACAAACATTTAAGAACTTTGTTGCTATACTCATAGTGGACTTTATTTTTGGCTGCAATTCTCTTATATAAAGGGCTTCAGAACTTTAAGTTTTTATTATTTTCATGAAGTACTAATGTATTTTTGATTAATAACTGTATGAACTGTGAATGTGGATATGAGTGTTCCTTTAAATGTTCTGAGATTGAACTGTGTTCATTCAAGTGAAACATAAGCTGTCTTGTCAATGTCATCGTTGTAAAACCAACATATGTATTAACATTTTTATCAGAGATGCAATCTCCCAAAGGACATTTAAAACAATTACATAATTCTCTTAATGAGAGAGACTGATTCTCTGGAAGCCTCTTAAATTCACTTAGACCAGTTCATCACTCAGGGAGATGCCATGTTCTGGGAGGATGGAATCCTGAAGCTGCCTCAAAGATGGCAAAAGGTAGTGTAACAAAATGGCACATATGTGCAAAGCAAGATAGGTCCTTCATATCAGAGAATCTCTTGGCATAATGATTTGAAACAAGGTTTTACAAGGCCAGATGTTCTTCCTGATACCCAACTTGGACACACATGGTAGTTCGAGTACACAGTGTTTTTTATCGAGACACCAACTCTAGGAAGGTTGGGAGATTATGACCATGTCACATTGAAACACCAGTTTTCATACAATCACCAAAGTTAAGCAACATTGAACCTGGTCACTGCCTAGATCAGTAACTACTTGGGAATACAGAGTGCTATAAGCTTGGATGTGCAGGTGGTGTCATGGATAACAGTTTGGCAATGTTTACTTGAAGAACCAAGTTTCCATTCCCATTATATTCACTTACACATCAAATACTCTTGGGAAAGGTGGGAATCCACCACTTCGCCCCTACCGTCCGTCCGAAAGACCGTCAACATCCAAAACCGCGCTATGAATAAGTAATCTTAATTTTTTTTTAACCTTTAGGGTTTTAGGTGCACTACATGTACTGCAGTTGTAGTAGAAGTGGTGTTTCTTGGGCAAGATAGCCTGACTGAGCCCAATCCTTTCCACGTTAGTTTTGAATTCAGTTTTTCCTTCTAGACGGGTTGTTATCCAATGTTATAGAACCCAGCCTGTCCTGCTATTTACCCATAGCTGGGGAGAGAAGAGGATTAATACCTTTCCCAAGGGCATTAGCACATAAGTGACTGTAATGGATTCAACTGGAATTCAAACTCAGCTCTTCCGTTCCTCAATCCAAGCTGAGTTACTCCACTATGCCTCCTCTAAACTATTGCTACCTCTAAAAACTTATTAGGTATGAATTCACCTTCCCCCTCCTCCAGCTATAGATTTCTTCCCTTGTATCACTAAACCATTATTATCTCAAAAAAAAAAAAAAAAAAAAAAATCTTACAATCTAAAAATATTTTCTTACTTTAAATAACCAGCAAAGGTTGATAAACCATAGAAAATAAATTGATCAATCTAGGAAGGTTGGCATTCAAGTCTTGAAACCCCATCTTAGGATTATATATGTAGTTGAATAAATAGATGTATAATTATCTAAATACAGTAGAATCCCTGACAGCCAGACTTCTTAGTCTTCTGGATCTGAGGAATTGGTTACAAAGTCTGGATCTGAGGGGTTATATTTAGATTAAAATAAAAGAACTGAAATCAGGTTTAACCTTTATTTTCAATGTTTTATAGTAAACAAAATAAGCTAATGGTGAGTGAAATATAATGGAATTGATTTTAAGGAAAAAGAAATTATGTAATGTTAATGAAAATTCATTAAATTAAGTATGCCACATATGCAAAACAAAAAATGTAACGAGGATCTTTTAATCATTGTTGCATGATGATTCTTTCTCTTGTAATGTTATATTTTCGTAAAGAAAATAAAAGAAAAGAAAATAGGAAACTATCTTTACTGTCCACGTCAAATAGGAAACTATCTTTACTGTCCACGTGACTTTTACACACGTCCCCATTCCTCTTTAAAAGCTGCGTTCTTCTTCCTTTGTTGATTGCTGCTGTGAATTAAGTTCAGTAAAGCCTTAGTGAAAGGTTACTAGCTTTCTTCTCTGAGCAACGTAACAATTTACTGAACTTACTTCCTCATGGACAAGATTATTCGTCTGGACAAGTTTGATATATCTTCTGCAGACCCTCAGGCTAGCAAGCTCTGGAGACTATGGTACCGTAATTTTAATTATTACTTATCAACTATTGCTTCGTTAAACCCTGACAAACTCTCAAGTCCTTTATTTAAATATCGGTGCTACCGTTGCTGATGTTATCAAGGGTTGTTCTGGATTTGAACATGCTGTTGAATTGCTGAGAAGTGTTTATGACAAGTCTCCAAGTATTATTCACGCTAGACATTTGTTGTCTACACATCTGCAGCAGGAAAATGAGTCTGTAGACCAATACCTTCAGGCCTTGAATCGACTTGCTGCTGACGGTTGCTTCCAAGATGTTACTGCTACTACTTACAGGGATGAATCTGTCCGTGATGCATTTATACGTGGTCTCCGGTCCCTCGTAATACGTGCCAGACTGCTTGAAATTGATACGCTAACTCTCAAGGAGGCTACTCAATGTGCTAGAGCCTTAGAACAGGATCACTTTCGTGCTGAGTCATACACTTCTCAGATTGGATCAACTGCTGCTACTACCACTAGGACTAAAAATGTGGTTACTGATTCTGCCGAGGAGGCCACTTCCACTACTACTACTAAAAAAATGCTTTCAGACTTAACTGATTCTCGTACGGAGTGTGACTCTGTACAATTGTCTGCTGCCTTTGCTCGTGGCAAGTGTTACAACTGTGGAGGAAAACGTCATTTTAAGGATAATCGTCGCTATTGTCCTGCCCGTGATAAGATATGTCGAAACTGTGGCAAACTTGGTCATTTTTCTAAAGTTTGCCGTTCTACCATGCCGCACCTTCACGCTCTACTTCAGCTATTATAGTAGCCCGTGCTAAAGACAATGATAGGTCTCCTCCAGTTACTAAAACTTTAGAATTAAAAGGAAAGAGATTAACTGCCCTCATAGACACCGGTAGTTCTGATAACTTTATCAGTGCCCGTATTGTTAAAACAATGAAACTGTCTACTTCTAAACGGAATTCCGTAATTTCCATGGCATCATCTGCCATTTCCCTCAAACTATCTGAATATTGTACTGAGGACATTATCTTCAATGGTTACGAATATAAACAAATTGACTTTACAGTACTTCCTGATTCCTGTGTGGATATTATACTTCTTAAAACTACACCAGAGTATCACTATTTCTTTTGGTGTATCTCAGGATATTCTAAAAATCTGCGCTCTAACCAAGATCAGTTGTGCTCCTGTTAAGTTGTTCCGAAACTTGACCCCTGATTGCAAACCTATTGCTACTAAATCCCGAAATTATAAAAAGAAACGATTGGTAGTTGATTTCTCCCAGACTATTAATCGGTTCACCTTACTTGATGCCTACCCCTTGCCTCGAATTGAAGATCTCGTAAACCAAATAGCCCAGTATCGTATCTATAGTATAATTGACTTGTCCAAAGCGCACTATCAGATTGAAATTTGCCCTGAAGATCGTCCCTATACGGCTTTTCAAGCTGGAAACCGTCTGTACCAATTTAAACGAATACCCATGGGTGTTACTAACGGGGTTTCTGCCTTTCAGCGATTTATGAATTCTTTCATTTCTGATAACAAATTATCTGGAACCTTTTCATATATAGATGATATAACTGTTTGTGGTAAAACCCAGGAGGAGCACGATGTCAATTTGGAATGTTTCTTAAAGGCTGCAACCTCAACCTCGAAATAAACCGAAAAATCAGAGTTTTCACTTCGTTCTATTAACGTGCTTGGATATCAAATTTGTAACGGAACTATCCAACCCGATCCTGAGCGTTTGAAGCCACTTTTACAAATGCCTCCTCCTCCCGACTCAAATTCGTTAAAAGGTGTCTTGGTATGTTTGCTTACTATGCAAAATGGATACCTAAATATTCACACAAATTTCGTCCACTGGTCGAAAATAAACAATTCCCTATGCCTCCTATAGTTATAAATTCTTTCGAAAACTTAAGAAAGACATTGCCGAGTCATCTGTAAAAGTTATTGATGATGAATTGCCATTTACTATTGAAACCGATGCCTCAGAAAAGGCTATTGAGGCACTCTTTTACAAGCTGAGCGACCTGTAGCATTCTTTTCTCGGTCGCTAAACCCCTCTGAAATACGACTTCACATAGTCGAAAAAGAAGCATATGCTATAGTCGAATGCGTTCAGAAATGGAGAGACCTCCTTGCCGGTAAACATTTTACTATTATTACTGATCAACAAGCCGTATCTTTTATGTTTAAACCTGCTAATCGCGGAAAAATTAAAAACGATAAAATTATAAGGTGGAAAATGGAACTTCTTCCCTTTTCATACGACATAAAACACCGTCCTGGAAATGGAAACACAGTTGCGGATACCTTATCCAGAGTATGTGGTGCTGCTGCTTCTTCCTTGAAGGAACTTAAATCGATACACGATTCCTTAATACATCCTGGGGTACAGCGCTTTTGGCATTTTGTAAGGTCTCAGAATATGCCGTATTCGCTTGAAGTCCGAAGTCTTCTGAATGTACGACCTGTGCCAAAAAAACCCCAATTCTTCGATTCTACTAGTAATGTTCTGATCTGTTCTACTGCGTTTCAGCCTCTCCAAACTAAAACCCCCCGAATTCTTATATACTCATTCTACTAGTAATGTTCTGATCTGTTCTACTATTCAGTGCCTGACAAGTATTTTCTCCATTTTCGGCTTCCTCGTTCATTCACTCCGTCTCTCCATTTAAACAATTTCTAACACGAAATTGGTAATACCTGTCCCTAGAGGCATCCCCGTTACAGGTTAATCGAAATACCAATTAGTGCTTGTCATCATGTGTTAAATGCTAATATCCCGTCAACCCCTAAACGAATGTTCAATTTTGAAAAAGCTTCCACCTTCCTCTGTGAGCCTGGGAAAATTATTAAAACGAATGGCAGAAGTAAATGAATTGAGGTGGTGGAACTCCTTGAGGCCAGAAAATACATCACAATGATGGCGGTCAGCCTTCTCAGAGGACCTGGACCTTACTCAACCGACGTGGACCACAGATTCAACCCTTTTGCCTGATGTGAAAAATGAATCTGTGAATAATAGCTCCTGAAAGTCAGCCTTCTCAGTGGCTCTTCCAGTGGTGAACTACAGGATCTAGCAGGATTCGTAGACCAATCCAACGACTGGAATTATAAAACCTATTCAATTACGATCTCTTTTGCAAGTGGGGGAGAATGTTATATTTTCGTAAAGAAAATAAAAGAAAAGAAAATAGGAAACTATCTTTACTGTCCACGTCAAATAGGAAACTATCTTTACTGTCCACGTGACTTTTTCACACGTCCCCATTCCTCTTTAAAAGCTGCGTTCTTCTTCCTTTGTTGATTGCTGCTGTGAATTAAGTTCAGTAAAGCCTTAGTGAAAGGTTACTAGCTTTCTTCTCTGAGCAACGTAACAGTCATTCTCAACTTTTTCCACATTTTGTTTTTGTTCTTGAAATTTTTTAAACAAAAGACACTTTTTAACTCTGGATGTGTCATTTAAATCATCATAGTTGAATGCTGGCTTTCTTTCCATAAAACTGACAACCTTTTCAATTTCAGTCCAGGTTTCATCACAATCATTTTTTTTATTTCTTTGTTCAATGTGACAGTGAACATTGGAGAATAATTTCTTTGGAAGATTTTATATCATACAATGTTGACTTTCCTATGTTGAACTCAGCCATTAGTTACAATGAACTTTCACCAACGTCTAGTCTGTTTAAAATTTCCACTTTTTGCAATAACTCCAAAGTCGTCCTTTTCCTCTTATTCCCATCACCTTTTGCACCAATAAAAGCCATTTGGGTGAAATAAGCATAAGCAATTATCCAAAGTAAATTTCCTGAAAAACAAATTTCAAATCAGTTACATGTCACCCAAATAGTTCAAATATATACATCAAAATCATGTCTGGATATGAGGCACTGCGAATATGTGATTTCTACTGTATTGTCTTTGAAATTCACTTTTTAAAAAAAAATACTATAAACATTTGTTCCTACCTGATATATTACATTAGTTAAATCCTATCAAATATTGTAAAATAGTTATTGGTTGTATATATTGGGGCTTAAGGCCATATCACATTGAAACATTGGTTCCTGTCTGATCACCAACATTGAATCTGGTCAGTACTCAGATGGGGTCACTGCTGAGGAATGCCAGGAATGTGACATGCCTACTAAGCTGGTAATGGATACAATCTCACTACTTTTTCTAACAGAAGACTTTGATATATGGCTTCTGGACTGACTGGTCACAAGAAGTTAAGCAATGTAGTGCCTGGTTAGTACTCAGAGGGGTGACTGTTGGAGAACGCCAGTCACTGTAGGCTATGCTGGTGTAGGCATAAGCTGGTGATATATACAATCTCGCTACTTATGCCAACAGAAGACCTTGATATGTGGGGGTGCTTCTGAACTGGGGTCGGGGGGGGTCGCAAGATCTATCTGAAGTTGGGTGAATGGAGTGAGTGCATATATTGGCATAAATTGTATGTTCATTTTTTTTTTTTTTTTTTTTTTTTTTCCAGTTAATAACAAACCCGTATGCAATTGCCTAAATGGTTATGCTGGAGAGAGATGTAACAGATGTTCCAATGGATATTTCAAGTATTACCGAACATGTGCCAAATGTATTTGCCACAACAACGTCGATCCACTGTCCCCAGATATCTGTGATCCGGATATAGGTCTGTAATTCTCATCCAGGATTTGGGTTTGGATTTTATCATATTTATTCTGTGGTCTGCAAGAATTGTTAGACTTAGAGATTAATGGCATTCCATTTTGACTTATTTAACATATTTTTCAGGATCTTTTAATTTTTTTGACAAATCTTCCATCTTGTCTGCAATTATGTTATACAGGGTTCGATGGATAAATTATCGTCTAAATAATGCAAAAATAAAAATAATACTGACATCTCATTTTAGCAGATACATTTACCAAAAATTACATAAAAATATCTTGAAATATGAAAGAGTAAATTTATTCAATAAAATCACCATTGGCTTAAACCACAGCTTCCAGACAACTTTGGAATCTCCTGCAACTCTTCTGAACATACTCATTGTTTAAGTTGGTGAATGCTGCCATAATCCTTGCCTTCATTTCATCTTTGGTGTTACAAGGAGGTTTGTTGGTGTCACAGTCTGTGTTAGCAAGATGTAAGGGGTTATGTGGTTGCAGAAATTGTCTGACAGCCATGACTGGGTTCTCCTGCTTGTGTGGTATGGTGTAGAGTCTAGTTGCCAGATATAGGATCTTCCAGCAGCCACCCTCTTGTCTCAGGGCAGCATGACATCCTCGAGGTATTTGATGTAGGCTTCTGTGTTGAGTTTGAGGCCCTCACCAACAAATTCAGGAGTTCTTTTCTTATCAGAACGACCAGAGTGAGTTTTCCACGCTGCCATACGTGATTGACACCCAACCATTCTGAAATGTTTGTATTGGTGCTTCCGGCATGAATGCCAAGCAGTACAGTATACTGTTTCCAAATTTCTGGCGGAGTGAAGTGCGTCAAGGTACTCTTTTTCTCACAGTGCCCAACTGACTCTACTATACTCTGCGAAAAAAACAAACATACATGCACGAAATTAAAAATATAAAAGGCGACAATTTAACCATCGCACTCTGTGTGTGTGTGTTATACATGAGTGAGTGAATACACATTATATATGTGTGTGGTTGTGTGTGCATGTTATATACATGAGTGCACACTCGCTTTGTGTTTATGTTTCTATGTGCGTATGTATATATTTTCTGTATGTCTGAAGTCGGACAATAAGTGTTTTGCTGACAGTCTGCTGTGATTAGAGAAAGAATTTTATTTAAAAAAAAAAAAAAAGATCCTTGTTAATTGCCCAAATAATTCATTCTGGCTCTTGTTATGTAATTAGAAACATTATAGAAATTAGTTTGTGATTATATAAAATATATATAATATAGATATTATATCTCTACAGTAATAATTATTGTATAATTGTAGACATTATAGAAATTAGATTTTCACTAATTTCAATTGCTTTTATTTTGTATTTGTTTTCATTTCTTCAAGATATTACGTATCCCACATTGTTTCAATACAGATTTTGCAAGAACAAGTTGTGTATTCCAAAGTTAATAATGAAACTGTGTGAGATTCATAAACGTTAACAAAAGGGAAAAAAAAATCCTGTGTTCAATCCAACCACAGTAAGGGTCACGTTGTAAAAGGCCTGGGGGCCACTCAAGGTAGAGGGTTACATTAGGAGGCAACTTGTGCAGATAGTAAGTGAAGGTAATGGTTAACCCTAGTCCTGAACAGGTTAAGATTGTAGTGATTGGGGAAACATCCACTTGGGAGTCAGTTTCACAGATAAATGGTTCACATGAGGAAGCTGTTTGATGGGAACTTCACCGATTGAATAGTGATTTTTTTTTCCAAGCGCAGCTCAGATGTGGCATGAGGCCGAAAGTATGGGGCACCCAGTGAGGATCGAACTCACTACTCAGTTGTAATCATTCTAGCAAGACAAGCTTGTTAACCATTACACCACCTCAAGGTGTCCCTTCACCGATTGAATAGAGAGGAGGGAATGTGAGTGGTTTGCTACAATGTAAATGGCATGGCGGGTCCTTGCCTTAAAGGTTACGCCTGGTGGAACCAAGAAATGGAGTTTGTCCATGAAAATAACTATAGAGCAGCAAAAGGTTTTGCCGCATCCTGTCTGTGGTAGAGAGGTTGGAGGGTGGGAAAATAACTTGTCCCCCACAAGGAGACACTTTTGGATTCTATCTGGAAACTATGGCCCGGGCAGCTGCCAGCCAAATATGTCTACAGTACTCCATTCTTGGCCTGACTTAGCATGAATTATGTTTCTCTTGCTAATGTAGATTTCTTTATTGCAAAAAAACATTCCATTTCTGATGACAATGGTTCAACAATGAAACTTTCAAAATATAAGTTTTCCAAATTGTCTTACTGCCAGGAATCAAGCTTAATGCCAATCATCTGGGTATGTAGTGGGAGAAATTAAGTTAGGTTGTTTTTTTTTGGGGGGGGGGGTCCCTCCCCAGGGTAATGTTATGTCAATATAAAATGCTTGTTATATTTATTCTAAAAGCAACTAATTTCTTTTTATAAAGAAAACAGGAAGAAAATTCTTCTCAAGTTGTGGGCTTTTTATGAATGAAGTGTGTGTCTCTATCTCTCTCTCTCTATATATATCTCTCTCTCTATATCTCTATCTCTCTCTCTCTCTCTCTCTCTCTCTCTCTCCTATCTCTCTCTCTCTCTCTCTCTCTCTCTCTCTCATCTCTCTCTATCTCTCTCTATCTCTCTATCTCTCTCTCTCTCTCTCTCTCTCTCTCATCTATCTCTATCTATCTATCTCTCTCTATCTATCTCTATCTATCTCTCTCTATCTCTCTCTCTATCTATCTCTCTCTCTATATATATCTCTCTCTCTCTATATATCTCTCTCTCTATATATATCTCTCTCTCTATATATATCTCTCTCTCTATATATATATCTCTCTCTCTATATATATATATATATATATATATATATCTCTATATATATATATCTCTCTCTATATATATATATATATATATATATATATATATATATATATATATATATATATATATATATATATATATATATATATATATATATATATATATATATATATATATATATATATATATAATGCCTGAATGTCCAAGAAATTTTCACAGAAAATATTCGTCCTCCGACAGGATTCAAACCTGTATCCTATACAGAACTGTCATTTGGCTTGACATACCTTAACCAATTTGGCTACAGAGGAAGGTTCAGTTAGCAAGGTCGAATTTACTGTCCTTTAAACTTCAATCTTCTATGAATCTCTCACGTACATTCATATCTGCTCATGGCATATCAAGTGTAAACAAATGACGTCACATGAAATGGACAAAGTCCAACAACTATTTTAAGACATTTTTATGTTTATACATTCTTTTTAGAGATACTAATATTTAAGTAAATGCTCTGTTTATAATATATATATATATATATATATATATATATATATATATATATATATATATATATATAATGGATCTTATCTATTAATTTGACAGATTTTTTATCACTTTAATGTTATTTTTAGTGGTTACCTATATTTGTATAGACACTGTTTATTTTTTAAGCAGTATCTTCATTTCTTTTCATCTACCCGATTCTCAGTTATTTCCCTTTAACTCCTCTCTCCAAGTATTTGTTCATCACTGCAGTTATCAGGTATTGAACTCGCAACTGTTTGGGTCCAGTCACTGGATCCAAACCAACGCTTTTATCATTTGTCACTTTGTTAATTGATGTTATTATCAGTGACAAATTTTATTTTTGTATTAGTCCTATTAATGCTCTATCTCTGATATTGAGCACTTTATTGCAAAAACTGCTTGCCTTGGGCCCTTTCTGCCATTTTTTTTTTTTTTTGGGGGGGGGTAATTTGTTTTTAATATAGTAACTGAGAAAACGAAGGGATGTACCCGAGTGGTGGATAACACCTCTACCAAACATTGGGCTTGTTTCTGGCTCAGAAGGGCATAAAAAGAGTCAAGATCAACATATAAACACATATGTAGCTAATTTTTGAATGTTATGTTTTCGATGTTTTTATTCATCTAAGTCTGAAAAAGATACTTTCAATAAAAACACATCTATGCAGAGGAAGGGATTAAGTCTTTTCTTACATGGAATGATAGCATTTCTTTCTTTACACTGTCTTTGTTATCACTATCATATTCACACATATCTATATATCTATATATATATATATATATATATATATATATATATATATTGCAGTGAAGGGAATGGAGAGGGTTTGTTACCATAAGCATGGAATGGCGGTTCCTAGCTGTGTAGGTCTGAGCTGGTGGAATTTAGGATTGTAATTCATCCCAATGTCTATTAGTGGTAAATATACATATGCAAAATATATATGCACACACACACACACATATATATATATATATATATATATATATATATATATTTTTTTTTTTTTAATAAAAAAAAATCCAAGAGGATAGAATACAGGTAGAACTCAATGTCCAGGGCAGAGTAAGGATATAATAATAAAATGGATTAAACACTAATATTCCATGGTCATAATTTATTCCATTGGAATCATAAATACAGTCCAATTCATCAGACCTTCAAATTCTTTTTTTGAGTTTGTAGGTTTGATGTATTGATAAATTTTCGATTCCAATGGAATAAATTATGACCCTGGAATATTAGTGTTTAAACTTATTTATTATATATATATATATATATATATATATATATATATTATAGTGAAAATCTGGCAACATTTAATCTGTGGGATAAGATTTACAGAATAATTCATCACTTACAATGTTGTCTAAGCGCTTTTGAACTCTTTCAAAGCGAGACAGAGAGGATTGGGCAGCAATTGTTTGGACTGTTGTCCTCCTCTTTATTGCCATATTCATGACTTTTCGGCCATTGTATGCTCTGGTCTTCTTCCAGTGATTAGAATTTCAAACTGGACCTTTTATTTCATCCTTATGGCAATAAAGATGAGGACATCAGTCCAAACACTGTAAATAGTTAAAATACAACATACCAGTAATAGACAGATACTGGAGAAGGTCAGAGGGTACAATGGCCAAAACGTTGTGAATATGGCAATGAAGATGAGGACAAGAGTCCAAACCATGTAAATAGTCTAAATAATTATAATACCCCATCTCAGAAATATAGACAGATCTTGAAAAAGGCCACAGCGTACAATGGTCCAAACATTGTGAATATGACAAACGATGTAAACAATTACAATACCTCATTGCAGAAATATAGACAGCTATGGCAGCAAGTCTTTTGTGATGGCATTGAATATACATGTCCCATTTGAGATTTGGAGTGACCTTTTGAACTTTGTAGGCATTCAAAGCAAGGGTGATCTTTGGGCATATGACCACGCATCATGTTTAGTTCAGATTTAAAGATTTTTTTTTTTTTTTTGTATAGAAAAGACCATGATTTTCTTTAGTATTAGTAAAACTTAATGTCAAATTAAGAATGTGTTAAAAATTGAATGTTTGTTTATTTTCCAGGAGCTTGCAGGCATTGCCTTTACAATACAACTGGTTTTTCCTGTGAAGATTGCTTACCTGGCTTTGTTGGGGATCCAATCCTGCACAAAAATTGCACTAAACCTAGTAAGTTTTGTCACTTTTACATTATCTCTTTGTCGTTCCTCATTACAAGAACTTTGGTTAGATACTTTTGAACTGATCAGGTAAGTAGTAAAATAAAGATTAAAAATAATTTGTCAGAATTTTTGAGCTGGGGAATTATCATTATTTCTTCAGTTTTATTTGTGAAATTATCTTTTATCTTATTTCACTCCAAGCAAGGCAATAAAGCCACTAAGATACAAGGGGATTGAGTCTGATAGAATATGATAAAAAGAGAGAACAGACAAAAATCAAGACGAAAGATTACAATTGACATTGCATTTAAATTTTTTAAGATCAAAGTTGACTGCTCAAGCCATGATCATTGACAGAACCTCTGTGGTGTGATGAGGTGACCACATTCTACACACTTTCTTTCCAACCACTGCTATAAACAACTGACATGAGCGAGAACATTATAACTTAGTGTGGAACATAGTTCAAAGGTCAATCTGTGCCAAGCGATTTAACTGTGTATTTTAACTCTATAATCATAGCAACAGTCCCAATACCATTTTGATCAGACCTCACATTATTCACTCTTTTTTTTTATTCTCTTTCTCTCATCAGTATATGAGGATCATGGCTCTCCCCAGCTTCTGGTATTTTGTCTCTCTCAACAATACTTACTCCTTTATATTCCTTCTTTGGTTGGACACCTTGTTATGGTTGTCTCACTAAAACAGTTACGACTGAATAGTGAGTTCAATCCTCACTGGGTACCCCATACTTTCGGCCTTGTACCACATCTAAGCTATGCTTAGAAAATCATTATATTCTCTCTTTGGTCCTGTATCTGCTGTTGATAATCTGTTGATTCTGACTTGTGAGTGATGAATTCTCTAAGCCATTTTTCCTTGCGTCTCTGAAAATTTTCAGCTATCCGATAGCAAAAGTTTCTTTCTGGTCTGTATATTTTGTGGTATTTTAAACATTCGTTGGCTGAACTGCATCATCGTAATTGGATGTCTTTTCCAGCTGTGATGAAATTGTTCAGCATTTATTGTCATAAACAGTGGTTTGAAAGTCTTGTCACCCCTAATTTCAAATTGCTGACAGGGTTAGGATAAGGGGATGAAAAGTCTTTCAGGCCACCGAAAGACTTTTCATCCCCTTACAAGATCATGGCTCTCCTCGGTTTCCTTTCTCTTATCACTTTCAGCATTACTTTGTTATTGTGGCACTCATTTCTCTGTTTGCTCAAGATGGGTGAGTTAGTAGAAACAGTTTGTTTTTTGTTCATCTATGCACCAGAAAATGCATCAAATTTTTTTTTATGTAACTGGAACCATTTGGTATAGTGTTACACCTACTAAGTGACCATACCCAAGGAAACACTGTTGGAAAAGACTTTAGATTTGAATAAAATTAAATTTTATCAACATTTGTACTATTAGTAAAAGGAAAGATTAAACAAAAATGATAAAAACATTTGACTTTTAGGTGATAAATGTAGGAAAAAAATCTATTTGTTTACATTTTTAGCATTGACTATTTTCAAATGGAGAATAAAAAGGAAATATGACAGACAATATGACATCGTATGTCGGAAAATTATTTTACATTTTAGCATAAAATGTTTTCAAACGAAAAAAGGAAATACAATATGTTGTCGGAAATCTATTTGTCTCAACTCAATTCAAAATTGTGAAATATTTTAAGATGTTTAAATTTCAGAGTTATCTTTTAAAAAAAATCAGTTATCAAAATGAAATGTCTAAAAAAAAAAAAAAATAAATAAAAAAAATACTTGTGGTAAAAAGTAAATATATGAAGTCATCAAAATGAGATAGTAGTGAGTAAAAAATTTTAAAAGTATTTGCCAGTATCTGTTTCACTTTAATGTTAAATATTACAAAGTCAGATTTTTTAAATTATATTATTTTTTGACTTTTTTAAAAATCCACTGGCCGTTATTTCTGGAGAGCTATCTCAGCTACACCATTTTCTCTCCCAAATGGTGGCTAGGATCAAAGTGTAGTATCTGCTCTTTGTAAGCTGCCGGGTTGGGTGTCTGTCGAACTCTCTGCTTGCAGAGAGGAACCCCGGGGAAGCTCCGCTGAAGGGTAGGGTTTCGTTGGGGGAGGTTGATGGAACTGGCCCGCCTCAGCGGGTTTGGATGGTTATTTATTTTTGGCTGGGCCTACGGGCTCAGAGATACCCACATTAAAAAGGCCTTGTGCCACATTCGATCCCCGTGGGTGGATTGATAAATACCATTTTCTCTCCCAAATGTGTTATCCAAAGACACACAAACTAAACAAAATTTGGATATTCATGTGACAATTTCTTTTTTTACTAAATTGTTAATAAATATGGTATTAATTTATAGTTGACAATTTATTTGAAAGTTTAATGATTAAATTCTAAATCAAAGTCATGAATTCTATGACTAAATTACCTTTAAAAGCTAAAAAAATAACTTTAGGTGAATAATCCCTACTTTTTTAGCCATCCTTCTTTCAGCAAGACTGGACTTATCATCATTGACCAGAGATGCAGGCTGAAACATGCGCACACGCTGAGAAACTGTTTTTTCTCGATCAGGACCTAAGACAATGACATTCTCTCTTTACAAAATTAAAATTTTATCTGAATAATTTTGACAATATTTCACAGAATCAGAAAGGCAAGTTCCAATTTCTGTTGGGTTTGTTATATTTACTTTTTCACAAATACCATTGGAAAAGATGTGAATCCGCCTCTTCTCCCCCCAGATATGGGTTAATTATAGTAAAACTTGTATCACTAAACCATTATTGTCTCAAAAAAAAAAAAATTCTTACAATCTAAGAAAATATTTTCTAGCATTAAATAACCTGCAAAGGGTTGATAAACCATAAAATGAATGAATCAATCAATTATTTTAGTGAAATATATGTCTGATATTGATGTTTTAGTGGATAATATAGTTTATTTTAAAAAAACAAATTTACACAAGGATGACTGTACTACAGGGTCATATTATACTCAAGGACCACTTGTTTCCTGTTTAGGATTGGGTTTCTGCTTCCTTCTAAAGTCTACTTCAATTCTATACTCCTAATGTCTGTGCTTGAACTCTGAAATTTTATTCACTAATTATTTTTTCACTCCTCCAAAATAGGAGTAGATAGATTCACCGATTGTCCAGTTCACACACCTCCACAGTCTTTTAGAAGAAGAGTAGAGGTTTATCCCTTGTTTCCAGTTTAGGATTGGGTTTCCGGTTCCTTCTAAAGTCTACTTCAACTCTGTACTTCTAAAATTTTCGACTAAGCTCTGAAATTTCATTCACTAATTAATTTTTCTTTTCTCCCAATAGGAATAGGTAGGTTCATCTATCGTCCAGTTTATGCTCCTCCTCGCTGTTGAACAGGAGCAGAGGTTTATCCCTTGTTTCCTGTTTAGGATTGGGTTTCCAGTTCCTTCTAAAGTTTTCCTGTTTCTAACATCACCGGGTTTTTTATTCAGTTTTTCTTTCCTCCCAAAGGTTCTATCGTCCGTTCTCAGGTCTTTTGAACAAATTTATCCCTTGTTTCCTGTTTACTTCCTTCTAAAGTCTACTTCAAATCTGTACTTCTAACATCACCGACTGAGCTCTGAAATTTTATTCACTAATTAATTTTTCTTTCCTCCCAATAGGAATAGATTGGTTCACCTATCGTCCGCTTTACACCCCTCTCAGGTCTTTTGAACAGGAGTAGAGGTTTATCCCTTGTTTCCTGTTTAGGATTGGGTTTCCAGTTCCTTTTAAAGTTTACTTCTACACTATATTTCTAACATCTCCCACTGAACTCTGCAATGCTATTCACTAATTAAATCTTGACCTCTTCATGTCTAGAGCTAAGCTGTTACCTTTCCACCTAGCCCCATGAATTTCACTTCTTCTTTCTTATGCTAATACAACTTCACACAGTAACCCTCTACCTTGAGTGGCTCTTGGACCTTGCATTGGGTGAACCTTAGTAAATAAAAAATATATAAATTAAATTTTTGTACATAAATTGAATTTTTGTACATAAATTGACATTTTATCATTTGATATGTTTTTTGTTTTTTTTTTTTTCTCTAGATTCTTCTTCAGCACCTAAAATTCCTGCGAGCCATTCTAAAGCCTCCTTGCCACTCAGCTTAAAAGTCGGTCTGCCTCTGGTAATCCTCTTTATCTGCATTATCATTGGTATTCTAATTCTCCAGCGTCACCGATTCTATCACAAATTACAGCCTTTCTGGACCATTGAACTGAAAGACGACCATGACAGTGTGACCCTAAGTGCAAATGATGGACAAGAATTTGGTGGTGCCTCTTTGAGCAGCCGTGCTGCTTCCAATCATGATGATATGGACTTCTATGCCAAACACATCAGCCACCAGGGAGGAATGCAATATTCACCTCTGAGAGAAACTATGTAATAATAGCCATTTGCCACTAAACTCCTTCAATGACAGCTGTACGGATTTTGATTGTAGATCTTTATTTTTCAAACAACTCCAAAAATATGAAACGAGTTTTTTAAAAATATTTTTTATGATGGATTTTTTTTAAATTGCCTTTTTTTTCTTTTTCTTTACAGTCTGCTTTTTTTCTTTTTTTTTATTAAAAAAAAAAAAATTTTTTTATTAAAAAAAAAAAAACATACATGCATACATATATATATATATATATATATATATATATATATATACATACACACACACAGAGAGGGTGTCCATAAAGTCTCTTTACAATTTAAAAAATTTATTGCAAAAGAACACACAAAAATGAGTAGATATTGAATTTATTTTTTTTAATTTTTTTTTTTATTTTTATTTTTTTTTTTTTTTAACTAATTTAATCCACCTCCATATGGGCACCATTAGTGGCATGAAACACATCAAGACGATGCTCAATTTCTTGCCATATTTGATGTAGCTTAGCCTCATCAATGGTGGCAGTGTCATCAGTGATCATTTGCTTTAGATCAGTGATACCCCCGTATCTTTGTTCGATACACAATATCTTTAACATAACCCCATAGAAAGAAGGTCCTGGGGAGAGATATTTGGTGAATGAGGTGGCCAGGGAATTGACCCATCCTTCCAAATCTACCTGTCTGGAAATGTTTGAAACCCACAAACATGCAGACCCCAATGTGGTGGTGCGCCATCTTGCTGGAAAATGATGGTTGGTTGGAGACCCTCTAGTTGTAGTGCCACATCAATTGCCTTTGTAATATATTTTTTAAATTCTAAAGAGACTTTATAGGCACCATATATATATATATATATATATATATATATAGATATTTAAATGGTAAAGTAGAAAAAGGTTTTTGTGTGACATGTTTTGTCCTTTAGGACTTCATCAGGCTAAATCTGTTAGATTGGTGTGACTGTATATGCGCACAAACAAGAGGTGCTGGAATTTTTTTTTTATATATATATATATATATATATATATATATATAATATATATATATACAATAAAATAAAATAGTTTAGTCAATACTAACACAGTAAGACTTGCTCAACAATAAGCTAACTCTTGAAGGGGCAGTTTACTCTATCACGCGTAATAATTGTCACAAAATATATATAGGAGAAACCTCAAGGAATCTACATAAGAAATCATATGAACACAAAAGGGACATATTACAAAACAATGCAGTAGTTGCTCATTATTATGAGACTGGCCACAATTTTGATATGAATAATGCTACTCTGATCAAAGGAGAAAACAATTCACTAAGATGAAAATGTATAGAGAGTGTCTTGATTGCAAGATCATAGACAGTAAATTTGCACCCTGGCTTTTACAACATTTCACCATTCCTAACAGAACTTCTATTATCACAGTGTGGGATGTTTAATAACAAAAGTCATGGAAACAAAAAGAACCTAAAGGAAACCAGCTTGATTATATACAAAAAAAACATTTAAATTCCCAGCATCCCTCATTCATGCAGATGTGTAGTAACACTGATGTAACAACTTTAGTCCAATGTAAACGACAAAATGCATCACAATGAAACTTTTTTCCACTTTCTCACATTTTTTCCCCCCATTATTGTTCTGGATATATAAAAATTTATTTATCATTCAATCTGTGTGTGTGTGTGTGTATGTATAATATATATAAGTCTGACAATTATTTTAATTTATTTTCTGATTATACATTAAATATTAGTATCCATATAAATAATGTATAAACAAAAAATAAATATGTAATTTTTCTTTTTTTTTCTTTTTCTTTCTTTCTCTTTCTTTCTTTTTTTCTCTTTTTTCTTTTTTTTTCTCTTTCTTTCTTTTTTTTTTTCTTTTTTTTTTTTTCTTTTTCTTTTCTTTCTTTTCTTTTTTTTTCTCTTTCTTTCTTTTTTTCTCTTTCTTTTTTTTTTTTCTTTCTTTTTTTTTTTTTTTTTTTTTTTCTTTTTTTTTTTTTTTTCTTTTCTTTCTTTTTTTTTTCTTTTCTTTTTTTTTCTTTTCTTTCTTTTTTTTTCTCTTTCTTTCTTTTTTTCTTTATTCTTTTTTTCTTTTTTCCTTTTTTCTCTTTTCCTTTTTTTTCTCTTTTCTTTTTTTTTCTTTTCTTTTTTTTTTTCTTTCTTTTTCTTTTTTTTTTTTTCTTTTGAGAACTTTCTTTCTTTTTTTTTTCTTTCTTTCTTTTTTTTTTTTTTTTTTTTTTTTCTTTCTTTTTTTTTTTTTTAAACAAGTTTCTCTTTCAAATCATTTCAATCCAAGTATTATATCACCAAAACTTTTTTTCTAATTGTGAGAATTGATAGCATAGAAAATATTTAATTCAGTTCAAACAATTTAAATTCAACTTTTATTTAAACAAGTTTCATTTTTTCAAGGTACACACCTTTTTTCTTTCTAAGTTTACTGGATTCTTTTTTTTTTTCTTTTTTTTTTTTTTTTTTTTTTCCTTTTCTTTTTTTCTGCATAATTTTTGCAGAAAAGTTTTTCTTTAAAACATTCAAACAAACAAAAAATATTAATGGTTACAAATATTAAACATTTACTTGCAGGGAGTATGAGACGGTTGATTTTTTTTTTTTTTGTTTGTTTTAACTCCCATGATTCCATGGTGTGATAGTGTCAGCTTTGACATAATGGTGTCTATAATCATAACACACTTTGTATTTATTTCTAAATATGAGCTCTCTAAATCTTTGTTTTAATTTTTTAAGCACTTCAAGTCTTGTCAACCAAGGTTTATGAGGCTTTGTGTTCATTTACCTTTGCTGGGTAACTTTAATTTTGCAAAATCTTAACCTAAAAAAATACTCCATTTCTACTCTTCTTGATTTGCTTATTCTTTTTAATGTGTGTAATAATGTCAGAAATCTTTAGCTAAACTTACAGAAAAGAATGGATAATTAAAGGGATTTTCATGGCACATAAATGGGATATTTTCTTTTTGCCTCTCTACAATAAAATAAATCAAGTTGTTTATAGAAAGAAAATTAATGTGTACTTTTTCTTCTGACTGACGAGGGACAAATTTGCATTTAGATTTTTTAATTACAAGACAACAAATTGCTTTTAGATTTTGGCTAAGATCCAAGTATAGGAGTAGTTGTGTGTTTTTGTTTCATTTTCATCTGCCTTCTTTTGAAATGAAAACCCCCCACCCACCCAAATGATTAATAAGAATAAAAACTCTGCCTTTTTAGTTACCTATTGAAATAAATAACTTTTACATTTTTTTAGGCATGTGCACAGACATACACACAAAGGTAGCAATAAATAAAATTAAATATTCAACTTATCTGTCCCTACTCAGAGTTTCACAGATATGATATCCATTTGTAATGAGGATGTAATATGGCATGTATGAAATTAACAAAAATACCAAATGTATACAAAATTCTCTTACCGGAAATATTCTGGATTGGCTAACTTTTCTAGTTTTCTAATTGAGTTCTGGTTGTAGGAATTTCTGAGTTGATATCGAACTACATAGGATTCCAAAATAGATTTACAGAATTATTAGAGAATTTACAGAATTAGCTTAATGACTTCAAACATTTTTTTAACCATCTGGATGACATCTTTCCCTGTAATTATGAAATAGGTCATTATTCTTCTAAAATTTAAATTATTCTCTTATTTTGTTTTTGACATCTCATTACAGCAGATCTATTCTACAGCCTTCAAGGGAATCAAATATGCCTTCTGGAATTTTAGGAATTTCTTATAATTTAAGAGTCTATAAAACTCATTCCATGCATTGTTTTCATTGCCAATCCTTCTTCAGGTATAAAATTTGTAAGAATTTCTTTCCTTCAAGGGCTTACAGCCACTTCAGGTTGAAACACCAGTGCTCATACGATCACCAAAAGTTAAGCAATGTTGAGCCTGGTCAGTTCTTAGATGGGTGATCACTTAAGAATACCAGGTGTTGCAAGCTTGGATGTTTGGGTGGTGTAATTGGAAATCTGAGATCTGAGTTCCAATTTTAGTCGTCTTTACTCCAGGGAAAGATATGAATCCACTTTTTCTTCATCTCCCAACACCCCCACCCACTATGAGTTAATTAGTAGGACTTGTATTGATGAATCATTATCTCAAAAAAATATTCTTAGTCTAAAAATACTTTCTGGCTTTGAATAACTTGCAAATGGTTAAGCTGGGGTGGGAGGGAGAAACAACTCAATCTCAATAATAGCAACATTGAAAAGGAAATTTTTCGACTTCAGGTTCACAGATATTTACTGCTGTCATGAATTTGATGGGAGATGCAGGGGAAGTCCAACAATGAAGGAATTCGATTGTCATATGAAGAAAAGAAAAAAAAAAAATGGACAGTTCAGTCATTTTTTTTTTTTTTTTTTTTTTTGTTTAATCACCTCACCCCAATCAAGGCAATAAAGCCACTAAGATGCTAGGAGTTACTGAGTGTTAGAAAATATGAGAAAAACTATTATCCTGGAGAGAGGACAATAAAAGAACAAGAATTAGGATAGAAGATAACGACTGACATTGCATTTAAATTTTTGAAGATCAAACTTGACTGAAAAGCAAGAAACCGGAATAGTTTCCATAAATGAGATGTGTGAGAAAAGAAACTGTTAGTTACTTCTATCCATTTCAACTGTAAAAGGATGAGATCTTGTTGTCAATCAGTTAAGTGCCATACATGGTGTATGCTTGGGCGATTATGTCTCTTTTGATTCATGACTGACTAGACAAAAGATTTCCTGCAGTAGGTACTGCACTTAAATTCATAGTCTCGATAACGGCGGAAAGTTCATCAGAACAATTACCATGAAAGTATTTATAGAAAAGTCACAGGGAAGCTATGTTATATTGGTGGGAAAAGTTTTCAGATCAAAGTTGAGACATTTCAATTTGTCTTTGTAGCGTAAGCACGGACGTCCAACTGAACACTTGGAGTTTAGTAGTTCTCCATACAGCGCCTTTTTTGGAAGCCTATACTCATCCATTCTCACAACATGACCAGCCCACCTAAGTTGTATCTTTGCGGAGAATGGTTTCATCGCCTGTGATGTTGTTACATTTCTTCAGTATTGCACTATTCTTGACCCTGTCATTCCATTTTATATCACATATGGCACGAAGACAGCACATGTGAAAGGCGTCAAGTTGATTTATGTGCTTGCAGTACAGGGTCCAAGTTTCAGCACCATAAAGAAGAGCTGAGAAAAATGACCGTTCTGTGTATGTCAATCTTTACTCCGAGAGACACGTCTTTGGTTTTCCATAACTTATGTTTAAGATTACCAAATGCTATGCTAGCTTTGGATATTCTGGATTGGATCTCTCTGTCCATTTTTTCCATCAGAAGAGACTGTTGATCCAAGATTTGTGAACGCCTCAACAGTTTTTAATGCCATACCATCAATGAAGACGGTCAGATTTATGAGAGATGGTTTGCCTAGTACTGGCTGATACATTAGCTCAGTCTTCTTTATGTTGATAGTAGGCATCTGTTTATTTTTATTGGTGAAACTGGAGTGACCTCTCCACGGTGATGGTATATGGAAGCTATGCACTGCCCAGACTATATGACCCTCCCTACTCTTGACTATACCAACAAGATCCAATAGAATACAGAGCATTACATGTAGGGGTGAGTTGGCTGCTAGAAAGTTATCAGTGACAGCCTTCGGGGCTTCACTCTCAATTTTCTGTTTGGATTTACTTCCATAGCCTTTTCCATGTTTGGAGATGACCACAAGGTGGTAGAGGTCTAAAATCAGGGCTTTCCTTCCAAGTCAGTAACTAGTACTAGTTTGTTACTACTGCTAATATTTGTTTGCATATACTCATACTTTTTTTGTGCTGTATATATTTTAAAAACAAGGTATTCATAAGAGGTTACTTAAACTCAATAATTATATGAAAAGGGGAGTAATTAGTATTGCTTATAAACACTGGTCAATAGTTTACTGAAAACTGATTTTTTTGTTAATTTAGGCTAAGAAAAAATAGTATGAAAGAAGCTACAAGTTAGATTTACTAAACTCAAAAGTTTATTGGTTAATAAATATATTTCCCAATTTTTAAATATCTATTTTTAGGAGGGGAAAATATTGTTAATCATTTTCTAAAGTGAGCTTTCAGTTGTAGCAAGGATATAGCTGTCCCCCATTTGACAAGCTGGAATAGTGCTTTAGATAACATCACTGATTGGTTAATAAATGCTGATGTGGAAATTTGAATTTAGAGCTTCTGTGAGTCTACTTCTGCACAAAAATGAGGCGATTTCTGCGTGAGCTGATGTTTACACTGAATTGAGGTTTTTAGTGATATTGAATTTTTCTACAATTTTAAACGGGGGTTCCACATACATGCACACACATTATTTTCAGATAGTGTATCTGTAAAAGAAAATGAATTAAAAAGAGGAAGAAAAACTATTCTTAGCCAATACGTTTCTTTGTTAAAGTCCCTCAAAGAACGAAATGTGTTAAGAATTTTCTGTTGTCTTTTTATTCAACTAATACACACACACACACACATATATATATATATATATATATATATATATATATATATATATATATATATATATATATGAGAAAAAAAAGGACTCGTTTCCAAAAGCAGGCATGAAAATAAATTCCTACTACACCACATCATGACCAAAAAGACTCAATAAAATCACAAAACCTGACTATAATAAACCTTATTACAAATATCAAAACTTAGAACTGAAAATATATATATATATATACACACACACACACACTGCGTGCCATCTGTGGAGTTAATCTTCAATATAGGAGATCTAACGTAGACCTGTTTAATAGGTGTAATATTGGAGGAATCAGTGGACTGGTCATGTCTTGATAATGTCTGATGACTGGATACCCAAGATCCTAATGTACAGCCAGTTAGATCAGGGTTACAGGAATGTAGGGCGCCTATGGCTAAGATACAAAGACAAGCTGAAGAGCAACTTGTCAGCTGTCAATATACCTCATAACACCCTTGAGCACTTAGCCTTGGAGCGGGTAGAATGGAGATCAACATGTTTTAGTGGACTCAGCAGTTTTCAATCAGCTTGTCTGAATCATCTTCAAGAAGCAAGTGCAAGATCTAAAAGGTCAGCCAATCTAACAGTGATCTCATCCCACAATCTTTACTCTTGCTCCATATGTGGCCTCCTTTGTAAATCACTAACGAGTCTTAAGTGCCACTTAAGATTTTCACTCAAAATTTCATAACTGAATCAATTGTCAGATCCTCTTGTGTCAAAACCAACAGGAGAGTCCATTAGATAAACACATTTAGTGTTTTATAAGGAGATAATAAACATTTCAATCTCACATGGTTGTTGCAAAAGTATGTTGCAATTAAACCTTTGTCATAGAAAAAATGATTTGGTGAATACAAGAGGGTCCCAAAAGTCCATTGGCCTGACCATTTCAATTTCCCTAAATATGGCCAAATGTCAGATCCCCCCCCTCCAACCATAATCCTTTACCACCACCACCACCCAATTTTCATACAGTTGATCTTTTGTTCATTGTGTGACTTGTTTTGTGCAACAAATTACACAGCACTTATTTCAACTCGCCACAGTACTTAGAATGGTTACTTCATTACTTATTTCATAACTTATCTAAAACAGCAAATTGATTATTGCATTACTTAAATTAGTTTTTCAAACCTTATAAAAGAGGGGTTAAAAGCATTTAAATCGAATGTTAAAAAACTTGTAATGGCACAAATTTATTAATTATAAACAAATGCAAATTGTTATAACCAATGTATTGTCTGTCTCTAATCTTTCAGTCTGTTACGATATCCTTTTTTTTTTCTTTCTTTTTTTTTTTTTTTTTTTTTTTTTTGATGTCATTGAATAATTCAGTTGGGAAAAAAATTTGCTGCCATTTTTTTATTTGCCATGAAACAAAGTAAAATGTCTTTTTATTGAAGTTCTGTTTTTTTTTTTTTTTTTTTTTTTTTTTTTTTTTTCAATTGATAAAATGTTACGAAAATGTAAAATTGGTCTTAGTTGGCAATAATATAATTGACAGATGACTATAAAAATACTTTGTTGATTATTGATGGCTAATTTGTTGAAATAATTCACTGACTTGTTTGCATCATGTTTTAAGTTCTCTGAATATCGGTGCTGCCTATTTTAATTGTGTGATCAATATAAAGACAAAGGAATTGAATGTCTAATAATGTTAGACCATTTTCAAATATTTGGATATTACAGTCTTTAACTACACAGTACTTATTTTGATTAACCACATTACTTAGAATGATTACTTCGCTACTTATGTAAAAACAGTCTTAGTAATGACGTAAATGACATAGCTATAAAAAGGCAGTGTTGATTATTTATGGCTAATTTGTTTAAATAATGCACTGACCATTGTTTGTGTTACATGACAATAACTTAAGTTTTAATGATGCACTAAAATAAGTAACCAAGTAATCGTTTTAAGTTTTCTGAAAATTGGTGTTATTTTTTTTTTTTGTGCGTTAATGTTGCCTCCCAGAGTTTCTCAGATTTTTATTAGTAAATGGAGAACAACCTGTTGTGCATATTTTAAATATGTTTTCTTTATTGTTAAATGGTTAAAGGGATATTAAGAAATGAGTGGCAGCTAAACAAATTGGTACTTAATTACATTTACTTATAAAATCTGAAATAACATATTGTATGTGATCTCACACATATTTTCCTGTATTATTATGCTATAGATACACACACAAACACAGGGTGAGCCAAAAGTATGTATACACTTTAAAGTGTTTTTTTTACATTTGTTTAATCTTATAAGTACTCAAAATGTCCTCCTTCAACTCTGCAACATTCCTTGAACTTCTTCAAAACACTGTGACATACAGTATGACATAAATTCTGATCTGTATCAATAAAAGCTTCCAAGACAAACTCTTAATTTTTCTATGTGGATTTTTC